CAAATGCGAGTCGTTCACGTGAGCGCACCTTCTGAACATGTTTGGGCCAAGGAGCTCGAAGGGAACGGGCATAGAAAGGTATGCGAATGCGAGGTCCTCCTGCGCAGAGGAGCTGGATTGGGGAGGCTATTTGGTCGGTTCGCCGTCAGCCGTGCGAATGTTGAAAATCTGGTTAGCCACATACCTCCAATTGCGCCCCCTGCCCCCCCAGCACTCGCGTCCGACGTTCCATCCACAGTCGTATGACGCGACAGGACATCGCCCCAGCAGACGTCGGACGCGGGGTCGAAGGAGTTCGACGCAAACCCACCATTGAGCGAGTACTGTTGATCGTCTCCCGGCAGCTGCGATGGACCGGCCAAGTTGAGCTCAATGAGCTCAGATAACGTCCACCCATTCTGTCGTGGGTAATGAGCGCTGTCCCCGTACACATATGCAGCTGAAGATTCAACGACTTACCGATTGGCGCGGCGTAGCGAGCGCATCCTCGAAGGGGCTGTGGTTGACGTTCCCAAGCGACTGGTGCCCAGGGAAGGTGAGGGAGGGCAAGAAGTCGAGCCCGTCGAAGCCGTAGTTGAATGCCATGTTTGATTGGTGTAGGACTGGATTAAAGGAGTGGGGTGCGGGGTGCGGGGTGTGTGGGTTGAAGCGTGGTGAGAGGGAGAGATGCCGACGGGACGTCGAGTGGCTGATTTTATGTGCAGAGCGAACAGCGGAAAACAAACAAACCAACACCTGGCCTATTATGGCCTTCGCGGAGTTCTGACCAGCGTCAAACGTCTTGGCGCCCAAATTGACCGCTCGACGCACTCGACTCTACTTCCAACCACAACATCGACGCCTTCGCCGACCATCCCATGGCAAATGCCCTAGGCGTAGGTCAGCGAGTGCAAGATTATAAGGTGAACCGTACGCACCAGAACGGTCCTCCGAGGTGAAGCGCGACCCATTGCCCGCTACCCCGGACTCTCCCCGCTATCCACGGTGCGGCCCACGGATGGATCATGCTTAAACGCGCAGCCGCCAACCCCACGTATCTGCTCTCCACGAGCACCGCGTTGAAGTAGACCATGACAGACGCAAACGCGCCGTGTCGATGGGCAAAAATGAAGACCGCAGAGGTACGTTGTGGCTAGCTCTTGCTCGCTAGTCCGTGTTGAATCCCGTCGCCGTCCAGGTATTTCCGCGCGCGTGGAGCACACAACCTTCAAGATCCAGAGCACGAGACGGTACGAGCGTCGGCTCTGACAGAGAGATCGACCCAGGCGTTCACAATCTGGTGTGGCTGGTGGGTTCGGTCAGCATATATGTCGATGTCGCGCCGAGATTCTTACCATCTTATACGTTCTTCTGCAGCACAATCGCGTTACCCACAATGTAGCTGCCCCCTTCACGCAAGATGCCTTCAGCCTCACGACGACAATGCAGCAGCAGTGTATCGCCATTATCGCCGCCACCGCGCTCCAGCAGTCGTTTGGTCGTTGCGCACGACTCGAGCCGCTGAACGCTTCCCAGATCTCCAATCGCGCCTCAGACGGGGTATACAACCGCTGATGCAATAAGCGTTAGCGCTAGGCGAGTCTCCTTGATGAATATGTACGACAGCGACAACACTCATCGTGCTCTTTATATCAGGAGACGAAGTTTCGGACAATGCTCAGCAAAGGAGCGCGTTCCGAAACACCGCCCGAGCATGCATCTTCCTTCTACGATAGCACCAACGCGCAAAATGATCAACACCGATGCACAACTCCTTTCGCAAAGCGGAAGACGCGTCGCGACGGCGACAACACCAAAGCGTAAACCGAGGACGAGGTGGACGCGCAGCCAGTCGCATGTTTCGCTCAAAGCTTTACAAACAGCACATTGTGCTGCATAAATATTGCCTGCGCAGGTTGTGCACAACCATCCAGTGAGTTCCCCGATTATACTCTTTCTTCTCTCGGAGCCGGAACGCGTGCGGCCTTTGTACCACCGCGGCATGAAGGATAGGCGCCCATCAGTGGTTGAGTTTATAGACGCCCACGACGCGTGTTCTCGCGTGGACCGCGGAGTGGGCGATCTGGAGCTCATACGTGTCGCTCAAGTGTGGCAAATTGATATAAAAGGGCATCTCTCTTCTCGTCCTCCGTATGCCCACGACGTACAGTCTCATGAGAGGCAGACGCACGACTTTATATCGTTACTACGACGTCAGGATCTGCTAAATCCAGTCGTGTTCGATGGCGATGGGTCTCGCAGATCGTGATATCGTGTCTTCCGGTGATTATCGCGTTCCAGCGGCCATAGAGAGCATCCTAGAGCGTCGCCGAGAGAGCTGAGATTCGAGCGAGGATTGCACGGACAAGAGGCGAGCGTTGTTTGGCGCTGATCTTAGCCACATCTTTCACAGTCCTTCACATGCCTTTGAGCGATGTGATTGGACAGCTTGGGCCAGTTGCCTGGATGCGCCCGTGCCAGGGGGCGGTCAGCTTATATATGCGCCGGGGATTTGAACCTCAGGGGACCCCCTCTTGTTCTCCTACCTCCATCTCCTCGCTTGCTCGCCCTTCTCCCCCTCCACCAGTCGCTCTCCGCACGTCCTGAGCCCGTCTACGAGATGTTCTCTCCGCTGAGGCCCTTTGCCTCCCCGCTTCTCAGCAGTCTTCGCTAGGACTGGTTCCTAGTCTCGAACATCCTGAGCTGAGCGTGGAGGTCTCATCTCGCTCTCTGATTAGACTGTTACAACAGAGCAAGAACGCCGAGTTCGTCATGCTCGGCACATCGTACGTCTCCCTTTCTCTGCTCTTCAGCAGCACGTCAGCTCGACAGCGCATTCACGGGGCCTGTCTGAGGAATGACTATGGGGATTGAGATGGCAGCTTTCCTTGGGCGGTGAGCACATTGACGTCCTTCCCTCTCTCTTTCTGCGTCGCTGTGGCCGCCTTGTCAACTTCTATCATGTGCAACGGTCGGTCTCATAGCATGCTTAAGCACGATGCTAAGACGACGAGACAATAGCGGTAAGACGCCATGCTGCAACCCCCTGTCTCTTCATTCTTGTTGTTGAGTTCGAGCTCTCCCCTGGATCGCAGTAATTCATTCTTATTGTAACGCTAATAGGTGCAGGTAGGCGTCATACGCAACGGCGGCGACCCGAGGTGGCTCCACTCAACCGGGCCAACGTTTTGATCGTGAGTGCTTTTTCAAGAGCGCCTGGCGTCCCGGGACACCCGCGGGACCCACACTAGTAAGTAACACCTCATTTTCGACGAACGGAGTGTGCTAACCAGGAAGTCCCTTTGTTGGGCTGCGGGATTCCGCCGTCGCCAACAGCTGACCGTCAAATGACCTTTGATATCTGTGGAGTTCTGGACCACTGAATATCCTTGCCTCGCGCAGCAACGACGTCAGACAAGTGAAACGTACACGCGACGCTGCGCGCAAGGCTGATCTGCAAGCATCTGAAGGGCCGTTAGTCACGGAGACGGCGATGGCCAGGCACGACCCTCGAACTTTGTGACGCATTGGGCGTCGAGTCAGATACCGTGGAGCTTGCATGCCCGACAACGTTCCTACAACCCGGGTGCCATGGTAGAGATGTGAATGGGCCGCCTGAGAGCGGTGTAACCCGCGTGGGAGTGGTCGTAATGCAGGAGGAGCAACGACGAGTTCTCACTCCTGGTCTCTCGTTGCGCGTGCGCCCAGGCTCGTGCATACCTGGCCAGCGTCGATTGCCATGATGGAAGTGTTGGCCTACGTGTTGCAGGAGAAGCGGTATGCCGCATAGCCTCGGGTGTTTAGACCAGGACGATATGTGATGAAAGATCGCCGTCACACATCCTTCGGAGGCGGTCTAAGTACGCTTGCACCCCGTGCTCGTTCTAGTCGATATGGGCAGCTTGGCGGTACGGGTGCGAACACTTGATACGGAGATAAGAAGGCTGGAGCTTATGAGACACCATACGCATCGTATATCGCACAGAAGATGTCGAGTTATATACATCTATAAATACATCGGATGGTACCATAATCTACAATACGACCAAACATGATCGGCGCGCCGGGGCGAGAATGCGGCCCCGAAAGAGAGGTTGCGCTCGTTGGGCTCTTCAATGGAGCCATCCCATGCGAAACGGCCGAGCTCCTCGGCAATATTAACGGGAGGTGAGAGAATCGCCTCGACAACACTTAGAGGCGAGACTAGCCAAGGAAGAGAGGTATATGATAACGCGACTATCTGTCATCGCGAGAACAGAAGTCAGCGAGTGGGAGAGGTTACGCATCGAAGAGTTACTCACCCTCTCCAGCCAGGATGGTACACGTTCATATGCCAGGACTGGTCCTTCGCCCGGCTCCCCTTCCATTTGATAGGACATTTGTTCTCGAACGGGCAAAAGTACCCATATTTGATATGGTCCCTCTCGACGTGTCGCGTCATCCAGATCCCCTTCTCAACATGTCCGCAGCCGGCCCAAGCGCAGGTTATGGAGGCCTTGCTCGCTATTTGCGCAGGGGTGTGGTGCCCTTTGATGTGGGGGCGATTCTTGTCGCCATCCGTAGGGCAGAGCATCGTCGTGCAGCCAAGGACTCCGCATTGCTTGTTCTCCAAGTTGGGAACGGTGACCTGCGCAAGCTCGGCGTTGGTCCGGCGTGGTCGCGGAGCGTACGCCTGCCGCTGGAGTGGAATAGGCGCGTCGTCCGTGGTTGCGTTGTCTTGATGAGCCGTGTCGTCTTCTGGAACCTCGAGGTCGCCTGTGTCTTCTCCATCCAGTTCTGCTTCAACCTCGCACAGCGGCTTTGGCGCAGACTCGCAAGGTCCATCGACGATGGGCGTTGTCTCATCAGCAACTCCTGGGAGGGGGCGCTCTTGTGGAACTGTCTCTAGCGCGACCGTGTCCGTGTCCGACTTCGCCTTCTTGTGCGGAGGGGAGACATTAGAGTCCTCTACATCGCTCGAGCGAGGGCGCTTGCGAGTCGGCGACTGCGGTAGCCAGGAAGGTTGAGAGATAATAAGGGGGATCGTCTGGGCATACTCCGAGATGCGAGGAGGGGCTGCCTTTGGGGAGAAGACCTTCGCGAAAGAGAAGGTGGGCCGAACCACGCTCGCCGAAGACGCAGGAAACCTGAGGCGTACGGCGTTCATCGCGAAGCTGCGCTTGGTGGGAGGCGGTAACGCGACAGTTTCCGGGGTGCGAGTGGTGATACGTATGCTGGGGTTCACAAGCCACAAGCTTGAAGGCGCGACCGAACAGCCTTCGAACGGCTTGCGAGTCGAGGAGTAGATTGACTGGAGGCTATCTTCCAGATCGCGTGGAACGTCGGCAATCCAATTCTCCTTGTCGCATTCCGCGACGTCGGGGGTCTCCAATGCGGGACCTTCGGTGTTCGCCCCCAGAATTACATCTGCCAGGAGGTGAGACAGAGCCTGTGTCGCGTTGAAGACTGCGACCGCGTGCTCGACACTGCTCCAGGGCGACTTCAGAGCATGTGAGCGAGTGGGACACGACATGCGTAGCTTAGCCACATACCTGAATAAGGGCCTGGCCCTGCTCATCGCCCATGTGCTCCAGCTCGTAGCCTGCAGGCGGGAGGAGCGACTTGGATGCATAGTCTCTGTCCTGAGAATGTGCGGGGGGAACCGCGCTCAACGAGGTGTGGGCCGGGGACAAATGCATGTCGGTCGGCATCGGGAACGACGCGCCCTGCTGCCACATGCCCGCATTGGTTTGAAGGCGATCTTTTGAGCGAAATGAGAAGCTCACCTGAGCTTGACCGGAGCTGTAAGGCGGAAATTTCGCGTTGGATTCGCCTTCAATGGGCTTGTAAGTGGAGGCGGAAGGGCCGGCGCTGGTGGTGAAGGCGGAGGACATGTTGAAAGTAAGGAGTGAGAAGTGGTGAGGAAGTGAGTATGAGGATATGCCTGATGGACGTCTCGGGGGAGTGCGCTGAGGGGAGCGTAAGGCGGTGAGGGGAGAGTAAAGCAGCGGAGGCGGTGGGTAGTGGATGAGATGGGGTGAGGGTTGGTTTGAGCGGGAGAGGGCGAATTTAAACACATACCAATTTAGGGAACTAGACGCCATTTCGAGACCATCGACGCACTCGACTCCCATTGTGTCCACTGACGCCGTGCATCGATTGGCCCAACGCATCCCGGCACATTTCCTGACCAAATATCAACACAGGAGACTGTGCGAAAGTTTGCGACTCTCCGGAAGTGTTCCGCTGGGTAGGTCGGCGCCCTAGACAGTGGTGCGCTCGCAGAGATTTTAGAACCGAAGAAATTGACGGGTTGCGTGGTGTGTTTCATCGTCATGTTCACCCCCGTCCCGTTTAGCTATATATTCAGCCTGTAGTACCAATGGATTTACACATCGTTCTTAGCTCTTGCAATGGGGTTCATGCCAGACATGAAACGACTACAGCAAACATATTGCACACCACGCCATTGTACAAAAGGAACCATGATCATTGTAATCGACGATTATGGCATCTCCGGAATAGCTTCGTAATGGCCCTTGACGCAATCACCACTACGGAATTTATCGAGGGCAAGAGCCGTTTAAGAAGAACGCAGGCCTCCATCCATCAGGAACGAGAAAGCATTCAGCTCTCTATTGGCACACTGAAAGATGCTTGCCGCGAAGCGGTCCAGCAAAAGAAAGAGGATCTGTAGTCAAAACCGCCTTCCCATGAGCGACGCCCTTTAAGTATGTGGAAAGCGACACTTAATTCAAGCTTCTTTATGAAACTAGAACCCAAACGGTCCTGGCAAGCAACGTGGTTCAAAGCATCATGCACTTCAACGATGCTTTTCTCATCGGCCTCAAGACGCGAACCGGATCATTCCTGGGTACCTACTCCCGAGATTACAGGCTCCCGCGGGAAAGATATGGGACCTGTGCAGGATAGGGCGGAAATTTTATACAACTACATGTACTACTACAGTTTACGAATACATGATACATCAGTCCATGGAGCGTCAGAGTGCTCCTGGCGCGCGAACATAATGATAAACACAGAACCCGGGAAAGGTTCATTACAACGCCCTGCAGGACGAGACGGCGTCGTTCAGCGCATGGTACGACGATGAGAGCATAAATAACTCACTCACGATAGCTGCTAACCCTTGTGCTTCCTCGCTAGGTGCGCCGGTAGATCCCCGCTACGTCTCGACGTCCATTTCCACTGGCAACTCGGAACGGAACAGATGAACGCCCGGCCCACATGATGTTCGTGTACGTGTGATCATCCTCGTTCCCGCCTTTCACTCCTCGCAGCCGCTCCAGACACAGGGCAGGGAAGCTTTGGCGTCCAGCGCGCCCGGGTCGTAGTGTGTCTTCAGGTGTTCGCGATTCGCGTCGTGGGTCAGCGGGTCGGACATCGTCTCGCAGCCTTCGACGGGACATGAGATCTTTGGAAGGCCTATTTGCGTGACCGCCGCGACTTGGGCCTTCGTGCGCCGGTCCCGCTTCGTGCGCGTTTCCCTCGCCTCAATCCCGATACATGCGGGGTCTTTGTCGTCGTCTGATTTATCTCCCGCGTCTGGTTCATTCCGATCCACCGCTGCCCTGGCAAGGTTCGATGAGCCCGCGACTGGTGGCGCAGCGCGAGCTGCAGCAACGGGCTTGCTCGCGCGACTCCTCTTCGTGACGGCACGACGGATGGGGGCTGCACGAGCCTTCCCTCGAGGTGCCTTTGCCGTCTTGGTTGGATGAGGCGCATCTGAAGGGCCTTCGTTTTCTGTATGAGGACGCTTCGAGCCGCTCATCGATATCGGGATCTCGGCATAATCATTTGTTTGCGGCGCTGTCGAAGCAGGTCCCGGCGCGTCCTCGTATGAGCCAGATGGCCTCACGTCTGGGAGGGGGATGTACATGGTAGCGGGAGGGGTGATGTTGAGGGTTTCCTAGCGTAAGTCGTAGAACGACTATGCGGAGTGGATAGACGAGGGATAGACGGATATTCTCTCGTTCTCGAGCTCTGCGTTGGACGGCCTGAGACCCTGCATTCGTGCTTGTTTGTGTTCTTGCGCTTCCGCTAAGCACCGGCTGCTGTTTGCACTTTGAATCCTGCACGACCGAAGGTGCATCGGCGAAAACGATTTGGGAGCCACAAGGTCGGACGTGCGTAAGTATAGGCCATATGTTGCTGCGGCGATCCTGTGGCCCCCGGCGGCGTAGAGGGAGGCGTGGGTGACGTTTTAGCGAAGATAGATACGCCTACGAGGCCATATTGTGGCATATTCTGTGCTTGGAATGCAGATAGTGTCAGAAGAATCCGACAGCCAAGCGGCGACGGACGTCATCTGGGTCGACTCTCTCTATGAGGGATGACGTTCTGTCGTAGCATGAGCCATCTACATGAGCTCTATCAGTTTTAGGAAAACAGCGTGAAGGAAGCAGCAACTCACCTCACTCCGACGCGTCGTCATCCTCATCCTCTGATCCCGGGGTTTGGTGGCAGGGGCTGTTCACCGGTTTCCGATGTCGCTTCAGCGCGTCGCGGCGCGGAAATGTCCGTCCGCACACGGGGCACTCGAAGGACCACTTGTAGTGCTCTCCATGAACGTGTCGCTGCAGACTCTGTCGATTCGTCCAGGGACGGTGTGCGCACTTTTTCCCGCCCTCCCCGATGTATGGGCAGCGGTACTCGGTCTTCTCCTTATCTTTCGCCTTCGACTCTTTCTTCGCAGCCTTCTTGGTCTTCTTCTCCTTCTTCCCCTTGGTGGTAGTCTTCCCTTTTGTCGTCGTCTTCTTGACGTGGGTATCGAAGTGCCTCCTCGCGCCGTCAGGGTCCGAGGCGCGCAGGAGCTCTTCGCAGCCGTCTAGACCGCACCGCGTCTCCTCAGTGCCCTTGGCATTCTCCAGCTCGCAGCGTCTGCGCCGCTTGCGAGCAGGTCCCTGGTCCTCCGCTTCGGGCGTCCGCGATCGTGTCGCGCGTGAGGGCGGGGCGGGGATAATGCCGGGTATATTCTCCCGGTCGCTACCACTCCGCTTCGTAGCTTTGGGCGCCCGCTTCCCCTTCCCCTTCTTCGTGGAAGGCTGTCTTTCGGGAGTCTGGTTCTGCGGGTCGATATCTTGTAGAACTGGAGGGGTACCGTCTCGTGGAAGAGGCTCGTCCTGGAGCAGGGAGGGGTCGATCACCGGCGTAGCGGGCACGGGAATTGTGTCGTTCGTCGGAGGCGACGCTTGAGAAGGGGAACGGTCTAAGGCTGCGTTCGGGGTAGAGGTGAGCCCGGCGGGGATCTCGGATGGAATGGCGAGTGAACTAGCCGCAGGAAGACCAAAAAACGAAGGTGGAAGGTCCCAATTTACATACGAGTTGGCAGCCGGAGCGACATCCAAGGCTTCGAAGGGTTCAAAGGGCTGATTGGAGAATCGAATGAGTGCGCGAGACGAAGAATGCATCGGAAGGACCATACCTGCTGCCCTCCTAGCTCGTAATTAGGGTCTAGTAAACCCATATCCATCCCCAGGTGTTCTCCATTCGCCATGCCGTCCTCGAATGGTAGAAAAGAACCGTACGCATTCAGCCCAGAGACCGTGTCCAACCCCTCTAGGTCTTCGATGCCTCCCCGGGAAACATAAGGCAACATACTGTCGTCGAAGGGGTTGTCGTGGTTATTCGCGGGATCTGTGTGCGCACCCTGGTCGGGGACGGAGGATGTTTGGCTCTCAGCCCGGAAGGTACTCTGGGGGTACACGTTGGCTTTAGACGAACCCAATGGGGAGCGAGCAGACAGTAGACGTACCGACGGCCCCGGGATGTTCGATGCTCCAATGCTACGCCAGAACTCGAGGCACCTTTGCTGCCAGTCGAAGTCGTCCGTGTCGTCAGTCTTGTCCGACTCGTCGAGGACGCGCTTCGAGGATGATGCGCCGGCTGACTGCTGGTATGGAGACATGGCAAGGATATGAGTAGAGGAATGAAGTGGTGGGGCGGTGGGGTGGAAGTGTGGTGTTGAATAGGCAGCGATGAAGGACTGGGGAAGAGAAGCGAGAGGTAGAAGAACGAGCCACAAGCCACCGCGCGTTCTCAGCCACCGCGCTCGGCTAATGCTCGACGCGTCCGTTTTTGAACATCGACGCACGCGACACAAATGAACTGGCTCGCTCGTCCGGTCTCGCGGCGAACCGCGCTTTTGTTCCGCATCAGACAATGAACAATGAGTGATGATTGGGAACCCACTCACCGCGATGATCCCGTGAAGCCCCGTTGCATGCTCTGCAGACAGAATCGCGAGTTATTCGCACCCTCCCTTCTCCACACACGTCATATCCTCCAAGATGGGTAGAAAGATCTCGGCCCATATGAAGTCTTGATATATGATGCATCGCCGTGACCGCTGCATCGTGCGCGAGGCAGCCCTCCATACGCACAGGTCCCCGTGCTGTCTGGCACGCAGCACTCGCGGGAGGGGTCGCGCGTCCCGGAAGCTGCGAGTACTGCCAAGATAGCGCGTGTCCTACTTGAAGAAAAAAGAACCGTGCTCAAGAGTAAGGAGAGTCCTGAGAGAGCGGTGAAGGCGATAGGGTATGTCCCTCGCAGAGCTTATTTCGGAGGCTTGAGAGTTCGGCGCCATTGATGCGGAAGATGGAAGTCTATAGGGCTGTTGCAATAGACAGCAGACGTTGGCGGATCGTCCGGGCGTAAGGGCGCTTTGAATACGGTTGAATCGAGCTCGCTTCTTCGACCTTTGCGAAGGGATGTACGGGAACCGGTGCACCTATGGCGCTGTGAGATGCTGGAAGCGCGCGAGCCCGGAGATTAGCGATGGGCATGGTATGTAGCAAGAGGTTGGGCGAGCGCACCGTTCAGGCCAGCTTAGATGTGCGAGGTATCCCATTGACCCTGAACTAATTTGGCGAGTGATGTTGATAAGCTGAGGTCACAACTGTGTCTGGCCCTGGCTTGAGAGCTTGACGCACGCCGCTGTACACGCTGAAGCAACACGATTTGCACGTCCCATGTCCGGGTAGGGGTGATAGCGCGTGCCTTGTCGCTGTGCGGCCGGGAGACAGACGACGCCACTCGCAGATGACCCACCAGTGCCTATGCGCAATGATGAATTGGAAGGGTTAATTGAAGCCACGGGAGGGTCTCACCTCCTTTGGCGCGACGCGGGGGCGAGAATGAGGGCGAGTTTGCGTTGGGGTTGGCTGGTGGGATCACGAGTGGCTGTATTATTGTGTAGGGAAACTCGAAGAAGCGGATAATCTCTGCTGCGCGTGGATCGTCAATGGTGTAGAGATTTGAGGCAATGGCGGAAGGACGATATTGTCGTGGATGTCTCCAAGTTTGCTCTTCGAGTTGATTGCTTGAGTGATCATCCGTGCCCCCAAGTCAAACATAAATCGCAAAGGTAGTGAGTCGTCGTCGAAGTTGCTTTGGTACTCGCGCTGGAAGTACTCAGTCTTGAATACGCTCTTCGAGGATGCGTTGGGAAGCTGATCGCAGCAGGACATGTCGGTCTAGACATAGTGTGCGTCGTTTGCGTGCACGGCAAGAATTACCGGCTACGGGAGCGAGGATGAGGATGAAGAATAGGAGAGCAGAACAAGACGTAGTGCGCACCTGACCATAGCCCCGCACCAGACACTAGCGCACTTCTCTTGACCATCGACGCACTCGACGCGTTTGAGCTGGCTCGCAGCGAACCAGCCGCGCAATTTACAGACCACTCTGTGTATATAGATCAGACAAAGAACAGTGGGGGATATTGGAACTTTACTCACCACGACGATCCCATGAAGCCTCGCGACGACTATATGGTTTTTGACGCCTCAGTTTGATACCAGCTTCTCGTCTGATACGCCGAAGACTTCGACAGGTGCACGCCCATGGCAGGCGGCGCGCCGTCGTACTCGCTTGGTCGTGTGCAAGGCGTCTTTGCATGCCCATATGTCTGCACCCAGTCAGAGTCAGGCATGCAGCACACGCCCGGGAGACAGGAAACGCAATCGCCTCCAGATACGCCTCGAATGCAGGATGCATATCTCGTCGAGATGTGATGCGATGTGGAGGAGAGCAATGGGGACCAGGAGGAGCAGTGAAGATATGGCCCTCGCCCACCATATCCTGCCACGCTCTTATACGCCGCCCAGCGTCAACGCACAGAAAGCGGCAACTTGAAAAACGCAAGGGTGGCAGCAGAGGCAGCAGTCTTTGGTGACATCGCCGCCCAATCACCATCGTTATTTGATACGGAATTGGTCGTATAAACTCAGGACTAACCGAGCTCAACGCCTTCCGCTCGAGGATCCATCCCGGATACAACGTCAATGACTTCTGCGGAAAGGTAAATAACGTCGCTCAACGTTCCTGTTGAGCGACGTCATTCGTCTCATGCTTTGCTTCTCTTAGCAGGGTCGGGAAAGCCCAGAGACGACATTACGCTGTCGGGCGTTGTCCAAGTTCTCAAACAAATCTTGTTCCTCGTCGACCGGAAGGCCTCAAGCACCAGTTTCTCTGCCAGGGAAAACCGACCGAGTGAAAGATGTTTGTTTCAGAGACAACGCTGATCCACTGTCAGTGCATCAAGTGGGTCAGGGCTGCCTCCCACAATGATAAAAAGCTCTTTCGCTTCCTCTCAACAGCCGCGTCAAACGGACGAGACTTTGCGACGCGTGTCCAAGGCATGTCTAAGAAGTTTAATACGTCAGTGTAAGTATAATGCTATCCATGCAAGCAGTTTCACGGCTTACAACTTCGACATCATTTCATTCGTGGTGTCCGACGGGCCGCGCGAGCAAAGTGCCAAAGCGGCAATAAGTATTTGGCACATTGAAGATGACAAGTGATAAGGATAAGTCAACGGAATATAAGATGTCTCTCTAGAGTGGGGGAAGTGTTCTCAGCTGCACATAAAGCAAGGAACATCATAGCGAAGAGGAGAAAGTTACCACTGTCAAAACAGAAACGCAAAGCCACGCGAACCCGGTTCGCTCCGGTATCCTCCGTGACCTTCCGATTCTCTTAGTCGGTGAGTATGAGCTATACATGCTCCCATCTAGCTCCCATCCACGCAGCAACCTACACTGCTTACCTGGAGGCGTTGCATCGTATCCCACACCACAACACGAAGATAATTGCATCTCGTAGCGTAGACACCCGCATCCTGTTATACATCGCGTCACCATAATAACTTATCTTCCCGTCCCGTCGTCCACCTCTCCTAAACAACACGATGTTCTGGGTATGTAACCTGGCTGCAGGATGCAGTGTATACAAGATCTGATTGAAGGGGGTAGCACGATCGGACTCGCAACGAGAACAGCAGAAAGAAAAAGACCTAGACTACACGCCGGCGTCCCTTCCGGAAGGCCGCCAGCAACAACAAACGTACACCACCTCACCACGCTCGTCGCAGCCGCGGTCCATCCAGAATTCAAAACAGGGAGAACCAAAACCAGTGTCCGCGTGAGTCTGAAACTTGAGCAACAGGGGGCGCGCTCGGGAACTCAGAACTTCTCGAACGCGGACGTGCCGCGCGCGCCGAAGTAGTCGGTGACGGTCTGGCGCGAGAACTGGTCGCGCTGCGGACCGTCGCGCGGGACGTAGCGCGAGAGCGGGCCGTTCCAGATCTGCTTGCGGCCGCGCTTGTGCTCGGTGATCGCGTAGCGCAGGATGAACGACGCCGTGAAGAAGACTGCAAAAAGCACGCGTTAGCGTTGGATGGGAAGAGCGCAAGGATAGGGATAGCTGGGTGACACGTACGAGCTACGAACTCGATCCACACGAAGGACTTGAGGGCTTGCACGTCGCGGCACCAGGTGCGCTCGTCGGGGTATTCTGGATAACGGTTAGGAAGCGCGCGCGCGGAGAAGGACGGGATGCGTGGACAGACCTTCGGGTATCGAGCTGCAGTTCATAGGTATATTGCGCCATCGCGAGGTAGAGAAGGCGTTGAACGCTGGGGCAATATCAGCGGGGAGAATATAGTTTCAGGCTTGCATGCACATACCCAGCCAGAAGATGCTAAGGACGTAGAGGAGGCCAACGTCTACTGCGGGGCGAGCAGTGGGCATGTTCTTGATGGTGAGGTCGAGCACGAGTCTACGTGTGGGTGCGATGAGATATAGTATGCAGGAGAGTAAAAAATAAAGTAGACATACGTGAAGAACAGTATGATCAACGTCGCGATAGCAAGGCCTAGGGGAAATAGGTCCGCCATGACTGCCAACCAATGTCAAAATCTCTGGCTCTTCTGACACACCGTGTACACTCACAGTAAAACTCTTGGAAAATGTTGACGCGAGCAGCAAGCGCGAGCGCGATCACGTCCAAGACAATGAGCAGGACTGCAGCGCCGATGAGTACACCCACCTAACGGTAACACAGCCATTATCGAGCATAAGACGTACCGTGCACGCCAAGCTTCTTCTTCCCAACCGACGAAAACTCAGAGAAGGCCATCGTGACGTCTCAGCCTGCGCGTGTCTCCAAGAGGTGTCCGAGGGGGAGAAACTTGAGAAATCGCACAGCGAGAGGAAAAGAATGGAAGAGCGGCGCGAGCCTATGAAGAGAGCAGGAAGGAGTAGGAACACAGCAGGAGGTGGGGGAACGGGTCGGGCGCGCAGGCCATCATGTACGCGCCCGCGCCGGTGTCTTGACGACCATCGCGCGCGACGCCCCGCGATCAGGCATCGCGCCCCCTCGCGCCCCTCTCGTGTGCTCGCGCGCGTGCCTATCGCAGTCCGTAGCCTGGCGCGTCTTCATCTGAGTTGTGTGTTGCGAGCACCTGCAGGCAGTATAGTGAGGTGCAGTGGGCTCGCGATGAATGGTGGCCCTCGCGAGGAGGATCCGCGCGGGCGGCAACCGTTTCTGGCCACTCGGCGTTTGCCGCGAGGAGATACTCATCCCCAATAGGACCCACCACCCCTTTACCCTTCTTACCACTCTACCGTCAACCTTTCGACACTCCTCTTGTCCTCCGGGTCTAAGGAGTAGCTGCGAGCAAACGAATTCCACTCTCCCATCCCGAGTAACGGTCGGACACCTACGACTCGACTGATCAGGAAAGCGCTTCCACTTCCATAAGCCCGAGCTTGTGACCTTGCCAGAGGACCCAACGCTTCCATAAGAACGATGCTCGGGCGCATCGTCTGATACAATCCCCCTTCACCTCTCAAACTCTGCCCACGCGTACCTGAGCACGACGATGAGCTTGTTGCAGCTATACCGCAACTTATTCACGCTCCCGGAAGACCGATGTAAGCTCCACATGGTCAACTGACCGCTTCCTGATGTTCTGACCTTGCAGTCCACATATTCGGCCACTCACCGGCAAGTCTCCCGACTCCGTACGGCAGAAGCAGTACGACATAGACCCCCCTTCACAGGAGCCAGGCGTATTCGCCGACGGCCCGCCCCAGGCCGAGACGTCATCGCATAGAGCTACCGCGGACGCACAAGGCAAGCTTACGCTCTCGGTGGTCGATTGCTGTGCGATGTGCCATCTGCTGCCCCGGGCGACGCGCCTTCTCTGAATCCTACCGGTATCATGTGAGGCGGTCACGGCGGACCCGCCTCGCGACGTCGCCCGGCATTAAGTAGGAGAGCGTGTGCTCTGCCGTGAAGGCTAGACGAGCGAGTTCCGATCGCGTTATATACGCCGTCTCGGGGGTGGATTCTACCTCGAGCTCCTTACCCCAGAGATTCGCCGAGATGCTAACGCCCCGTGTAGTTGCGTTTGCGGCGACTTTGTCGACAGTTGTCGCAGCTCCGCCGGCGTTCCCGTCCAGCGGAAATGGCCTATGGTACAAGCAACCCGGAAGGTTCGACGACTGGGCCAGTGATTGGCTGCCCGTCGGCAACGGATTCCTGGCAGGTACGATCCATGCACTAGTAGTTCGCCACTATATCTTATCCTGCTCCAAGCTACGCTGCTGGGAGAGACTGCCCAGGAAGTCACACAACTGAACATCGAGTCCCTCTGGTCTGGTGGACCTTTCCAGGATCCCGTATGTTTGACGAATCTCATCGCGGTGATCTTCAGCTGATGTATAGCTGTAGTCCTACAATGGAGGTAACAAACAGCTCTCGGAGCAGGCAGCCACAGCGGAAGCCATGCAGGATATTCGTCAGAGTATCTTTGACAGTTCCAGCGGCACCATCGACAGTATGTCGAATCCACATGTCAAAGATTTTGATTGTCTGACGTTCGCCCTGCCTGCAGACATCGAGCAGCTCACTACCGATGCAGGAGCCTATGGTATATTTTCCACACTCTTGTAGTCGAGGCGCGAGTCAGCTAACGGTCGAGATAGGTTCCTACATAGGGGCTGGCTATCTACTGTCGTCTCTCGATCTGAGCGGTGACGTCTCGAACTATTTCCGCTGGCTCGACCTCGACTCTGCAGTGCACGGAACGCAGTGGACACAGGGGAACACCACTTTCACCCGGTAGGCCATATCGCTCCCCATTCCAACACTCATGGGCGCTCACATGTATGCAGCGAAACATTCTGCTCTCATCCCGCGGAAGCCTGTATCCAACACATCAACTCGTCCAGCACTCTCCCAGCGTTGACCTTTGCCTACTCCGTCGCCGCAGAGTCCGGCATCCCCACGCCCACTGTTATTTGCTTCGACAACTCGACGCTTCAGATCACCGGTACCGCTTCTGACCCTGGCATGGCGTTCGAGATTCTCGCTCGGGTGACCGCGCTTTCCAGCGGAGATGCATCTCCTTCCGTCTCATGCACCCCCTCTGGAACGAACGCGACTATCACGGTGAACGGCGCGCAAGACATCACCCTTACGTGGGTCGGCGGGACGAACTACGACATGAGCGCAGGCGACGCCGCGCACGACTTCTCCTTCCAAGGCGCCGATCCGCACGATGCGCTTCTCGCACTGCTCACTCCAGCCACCGCGTCATCGTCCTCCTTTGACTCCCTGCGCTCCGTGCATGCCGATGATTTCGCGTCGGTCATCACGCAGTTTGCCCTGGACCTGGGCCAGACGCCCGACTTCGACACGCCGACGGACGTGCTGAAGGCGCAGTACGAGACAGATGTAGGCAACACATACCTGGAGTGGGTTTTGTTCAATTATGGGCGGTTCCTGCTTGCGACCAGCGCGCGGGGTGTGCTTCCGGCCAACCTCCAGGGCAAGTGGGGCAAGGACGCGAGCAACCCGTGGAGCGCAGGTACGTATCCGAGACAATCGAAAATCAGCTTGAATCTGACGTACCATCGAAATCACAGACTATCGTGGGTATCAGACGGTCCATAATGCGGAAAAGTAGCTTACGATACGTCTGCGCAGACTCGAACATTAACATCCAGATGAACTACTGGTTTGCAGAGCTTACTGCCATGGACGTCGTAACGCCGCTCTTTGACTACTTCGAGGTGCGCAAATTTCCTCAAGTTACAGTGTTGGCGTAGGCAATACTCATACCTGCCTGCCAGAAAACATGGGTCCCTCGCGGCTCGCAGACGGCGCAGGTGCTATACAACATCTCACAAGGCTGGGTCACGCATAACGAGGTACGCTATCAAGCTGGATATTGATATCTCACGATAATTCTGACACGGTTGGGGTAGATGAACGTAAGGATGCTCCATGTATGGTCTTGAAGCTTGCTCATTTGCGTTCAGATCTTCGGCCACACTGGTATGAAGGGTGGAGGCAACACGGCGTCGTGGGCAGACTACCCCGGTATGCATGGACATGGCCCTCATCCGTGTTAATGCGATACTGACCTCTTTCCAGAATCCAATGCGTGGATGGTGTGTATGGTGTGTCCGAGTATCGCAAGACAGTACAATAATCCTCAACACGCAGATGTTCCACGTATGGGACCACTTTGACTTCACCCAAGACATCGACTGGTTCAAGGCTCAGGGTTGGCCGTTGCTTAAGGTGCCTTTCGACGTTATCATGGATGCTCTGCTACTGATGCTAGATACCTCCATAGAGCGCCGCTCAGTTCCATCTGCAAAAACTCGTTCCGGACCTACGCTTCAATGATTCGACGCTCGTCGTGAGCCCATGCAACTCGCCCGAACAAGTTCCAATCACCCTGGGTAAGTTTTTGCGCTCTCTTGCCACCGACACGAAACTCACCATAGAGGATGTAGGCTGTGCGCACGCGCAGCAGGTCATCTGGCAACTTTTCAACGCCGTCGAGAAGGGTTTCCCCGCTTCGGGTGACACAGACACGGCGTTCCTCGATGGCAAGTAACATCAAATGTGCAATCGCGAGCCTACGTGCACCTGCTGACCGTTCTGGAATGCACAGAGGTGACGTCCAAACGCGCACAGATGGACAAGGGTATTCACGTCGGCTCATGGGGTCAGCTACAAGGTAAGCATTCGTCTTCACTCCCCTCATGATAACCCCGCTGACTCTAACTTTGTGGCAGAATGGAAGGTCGACATGGACTCGCCCACCGACACTCACCGCCATCTCTCGCACCTCATCGGACTGTATCCTGGCTACGCGATTACAGGCTACAATCCCAGCGTGCAGGCGACATCGCAGAACCTTACACACGCGCAGGTACTCGCCGCGGCGGAGACGAGCCTCATCCACCGCGGAAACGGCACGGGCCCCGACGCGGACTCGGGCTGGGAGAAAGTCTGGCGCGCGGCGTGCTGGGCGCAGCTGCAAAACGCGACTGAGTTCTACCACGAGTTGTCTGTGAGTATTTGCATGCCATCTGCAGTATGCAATGTAGAGAGGTAGGCTGACTCCTCGTGTCTCACGCAGTATGCCGTCGAGCGCAACTTCGCACAGAACCTATTCAGCCAGTACTCGCCCTCCGGAGACCCCATCTTCCAGATCGACGCGAACTTCGGCTACCCCGCCGCGCTCCTCGTAAGTCCTCCCCAACCCACATTCCGTCTCTCGTCTCCCCAGCACCCACTGACTCTGCTCCCAGAATGGCCTGGTCCAAACCCCAGACTCCGCATCGCTCTCCGACGTCTTCACCGTCAGCATCCTCCCCGCGCTCCCCGCGCAGTGGAAGAGTGGCTCGATAAGGAACGCACGGCTGCGCGGCGGGCTGGGCGTCAGCTTCTCGTGGGGCCCCGCGCCGGGTCTCACGTCGCTGACGGTCAGCGCGGATGCGAACGCTGCCCCGCGCCGGATGCGCATCGTGCACGGGGGTCAGGAGCTTGCGACCTTCAACGTCAAGCCGGGGATGAAGATGCAGATTGTGTAAGATGGAGGTGCGGGTTCGCGTTGGACATGGATGAAGAGAGGACCGTCTAGGTGATATCGGAATGAGTATGCGTGTATCGTGTTGTACGATCGTTTTGTACTGTAATGGTCGGATGAGGATCTGTCTGTCTGAGTTCTTGGAAATGCCTGTATTCTCTGCCTGGACCTTTGTCCTGTCATCATTCCTCGTACACTTGTGATACGATATGTTCGATTGCAGGTTTGCGAGTCAGAGCGTCAACGCTCTCGTTGAGGCCTGCAAGACTCCGCCTTGTACGCAATCAACGCAGGTGCAAGATAACGGATGTCGCGTTTATAAAAGTTATACAATCCATGTCCATGTGCGGTATACATAGATCCGACCGTATAGCCTCGACTGACTTACACAACGCTGAGCGCGACCACAAGTATGCACTGCAGTTGCTCAGTTCAGGACAAGGGGGACGTCCTCGAGCCAACGCGAGATGAGGTCCTATCAAAAGATACACGATCAGACTCGGCTTCCCAAAACTATCGCGGGTGAGACTTACCAGAGCGGCCTCAGGCTGGTCGAAGGGAACCATGTGTCTACACAACAAACGTTAGCCACGGAGCATTTGCGAGGAAACACAGTGCAGCACATACCCAGCGGCGTGGACCTGGACGTAGGTAAGGTTGCCCGCGGTGAAGCCATCGCCGCCGGCACTGCGCACCCAGCCGGCGAGCTTGCCCTCGTCGAGCGTGACCCACGGCTGGAGCGTCGTCGACGCGAACTCGTCGTGGAACTTGTTCTCAAGCTTCTCGACCCAGCGCTCGTTACCCTAACATTAGTGTCAGTGTCTGTTGCAATGTGAGACCCACCAAAGGGGCACGCACAATGTAGTTGCACGCCATGTCCGCATCACCCGCGTAAATGAGGAGGCGAATGCCGCTTTCAACGAGCTCGGGCAGGAGCTTCGCGCGGTTGCGCGCGCCGTCGCCCTGCAGCGCGAACGCCTGGTTCACATCCATGTTGCAGCTCGCGAAGTCGAGCGCGGGGTTCACGCCCAGCTGGCGCTTCGTCTCCGGCAGGTTCATCCACGTGTCGATCCACGTCAGCTCCTGGTAGCACAGCTGGCCGTCCCTCTCGCGATCGCACTCTCGGCGCACGTCGTACACGTTCCGGCCAGTCTCTGCATGGCCAGCTAGTGAGTCTATCGACGCACGAATAGGCAAACGGGGTACACACGCATAATGGGACCCATGAGCTGACTGTTGCAGTACAGGAGCGCGGGCGTGCAGGTGAACTTGGAGTCAAAGTCGTAGCAGCTCTTGATGAGCCGCTGGCACGTCGGCACTTTCGTGCGCAGCGCCTGGCACTGCGCGCTCTGTGGGTCGCTGAACACCGGGAACTCGCCCTCGCACGCCGCGTCGGGCACACTCGCCATCTGTACGTACGGGTCTGAGATACCGTTGCCGATAATGACCGACGCGAGGTTGATGGGGAGCAGCCCGGGCGCCAGCGCGTCCGCACCCTTCGCAAGATCGAGGTTCTTGTGGTGCACCACGCTCGCGATACTTGGCGCGTACATACCGCCGTAGCTCTCAGCGGCGATGTGGAAGGGCAGCCCCGCGTACTGCGGGAAGCGCGTGAGGAAGAGCTCCAGGAACGCCCAGACGTCCTCTGCTGCGACGGGGGTGGTGTTCACAGACGTGTCGCCATCGGCGTACGAGTAACCGACATTGACAGGCTGGTCAAGGAAGATGACGTTCGCTTTCTCCGTCCAGGAGTGCGGGTGGAAAGATACGTTCTTGCCCTCCTCAGCGATGCGGCAGGGGCCGAGCTCAAAGAGCAGACCAGTGGTGGATGAACAACCCGGTCCGCCGTTGAGCCAGAGAACAAGAGGTGCCTTCTCTGGGTTCGAGCGGGCCTCGAAGAACCTGTTCGGAGTGATGTTAGCGCCACAAAGGCCGGTGGGGGTGGTGGTTTAGGGGTCGCACTCACCAGTAGAAGAGATGCTTGTCATCAGCAATGTCAAGGTATCCCGAGACCTGCTTGACCGCGGTATCGCACAGTGCAGGCTTCGTCATTCGCAGGTGGTGATCGTCGAACGCCGGATGCGACACGAGCTCATCTGCCGACACTTTGAGCTTACCCGCGCATACAAGCAGAATAAAGTTACTCACAGGTCAGGCCGTGCTGCTGGACGAACTCCTTGCCTCCGTCGACCCACTTCGTGACGCGTTGCTTGCCCTCGCGCAGGATATCGTGCGCCACATCCTTCCACTCGTTCGCGACGGAGCTGAGTCCGTCGAGAATGACCTGATCGCTGGTCGGCACAGCGAGCACAGCCGTTGCCGCCAGGAGAGACAGCGCAGAGGTTGTGAGCAGCTTCATGGTGGTAGTTGCGGTTGAAGCTGGTTGAACAGCGCGGGAGCGGGACCCTCGCGGTCGGCGGTCGCGGGGCGCTGTAGTCCGCATTCGGCAAGATAAGATAAGGAGCTTGATGATTACTTTGATAGTTTACTCCCGGAGTACTTTGGACTTACAAAGTAACAAGCGTATCTAGGCCTCGTCATGCCAGCTACTGAGGCTTGAAGCAGCATATGGAACTATAGCAGGCGAGAAATGAATGCTGATAGCGAGTGACGGGCGGGTACAGACACAACATGGCTACTGGAGATGGAGCGCAAGAGCGGAGTGCTGAGTGCTGATGACTATATGTACACATGAAGATCAACGAGTGGGGGTGCTAGGATGATGCCGCAGGCGATGTGAGGTAAGGTGCGGGGATGCTGGAGACAAAACGCGTGTCAAGATATAGTAGGCAGATTGGGCACTGGGTCGGAATCACGCAGCGCGCGTCGTGTAGTCTCTCCAGAGGCCATCAACGAACTGAGAGTCAGTCTACGCCGAGATAACGTCAGATTCATGGCATACAGACAAAGACACAGGACGGCTTACATGAATGAGAGTGAGCAGTTCCCTCACGAACTCGGTCTTTGGAATCGTCGGCGCTGGCGCGGGAACATGCGCGTTCATCGCGGCGAAGATGGCCTCTTTCGCAGAGATGCTGTCCAGTGCGCCGTTCCGGCTCTGGCCATTGACGTGCGGGACGCCGTTCGACCCGTTCACTCCGACCTTCCTCGTCTGCTTTGGAGTGCTGTCGGCACCGGGCCCATTCGGGGTCACGGCTGCGGTAGCGCCGTTCAGGTTCGGGATCGCGCCGTTCGTGTTCGGGGTCGTCCCATTCACGTTGGCGATTGCATCGTTCACAATCGGAGGCGCGCCGTTCGGGACCACGGCCACGCCGTTAGGCGGCGCCATAGCGGCCACAGCCGTCTTCGCCGTCGGCGGGTACGACGGCTGGCCGTGCCCCTGCGCGGGCATATCCCAGCCCCGCTCGATCTCCGCGCGCTGCCGCACGTTGTCCTCATCGCGCTCCTTGCGGCTCTTCCTCCCCTTCTTCTTCTGCTGCTTGTCCTTGAGGCGCGAAGAAAAGATCGCGGGGTCGCTAAGAGCGCGCGTGTCGGAGAAGTCGAGCTCAACGACGTCATCGTTCTCGAATGAGCGGTCGTCGAGCGGCGCGCGGGGATACGGCCACAGCTCGGAGCTCGCCTCAAATGGCACGAGTGCTCGCTCGCCGCGCGTGCCCGAAGGTGTGTCTGGGGCTGGGATGCCATTGGGCGGCGCCCTGAGGTTGGGGGCAGATAGTGAAGCTGTGGGCACGGACGGTTGGTGTAGGAACTGCGGTGGGGAGGTAGGGGGCAGGCGCAAGCCTCCGGCCGGAGGGCGAGGGGTTACATCGCCAGGTACGCGGCGCGAACTGCTTGGCCGCCCTACGTCGTCGGCTTCCGACTCGGAAGACGCGGTGTTCTGGACAGACTGGACGGAGAAGGTGGGGATTCCCGCGGTGCGGCCGTTCACTTTGCGGTCGGAGGTGCGGGAGCGGGACGATGCAGCGCCATTGAGGGCCAGTTCGCCTTCGCTATTCTCGTTGTCTCCCTCGTAGCGGTTAGGGTTGGAGCGCCGTGAGCCTACGGAGCTGGGTGCAGCAGAAGACGCGCGCGAATCCGGTCCCAGACCGAGCAGCGTATGGATGACATCCTGGTTGAGGATCTGAGGAAGCGCACTGGACGTTGGCTTGGGAGATACGATAGTGATCTCTTCAAACCGTGGTTGGGGCTGCGTAGGAGTCGCAAAGCTGTTTATACTTGTCGAGGACGTCGCAGGTGTAGCTGACGCAAAGATAGAGTCAAGCAGAGCAAGGCCGCGGCTTGGAGGAGGCTCCGGCACAGATAGCGGTTGAGGAGGCGGGACGCTTCGTGAGGTCATATCGTTACCACCGAGGGCAGCAAAAAGGTCGTAGACCGACTTCCCGCTGGGGGGACCAACTGAAGAAGAGGTCGGCAAAGGCGCAGACACAGACGGCGGGATCAGCTTAGAGAAAAGTAGATCGAGCTCTGTACCGGCTCCATTGGTAGCAGCTGCAGCTTGTTCCACGGAAGGGAGCGTTTGGCTGTGAGATACACCGTTGGGTTGCCCGGCGTGCAGAGTGTCTCCTTGATCTGAGCCGACGCTGAGCCGACGCCAGAAGGTAAGAGGATGGAACAGACGAACCCTGTGAGGGAGTGTGGGTAGATGCGCGACTCGTGGTCCGGAGATGAGGATTGGGCGGCGGAGGGCGGCCAGGGCCATACTTGAACTCCTCAGGGTAATCTGCATTACGTTTGACATATGAGTGTAGTCTGTCAAGGTCGTCAGATTAAGCTTCTCAAAAAGACATCCGGCATGGATTGACATGAGACGAGCTTGATTTGTAGCACATGGCGTACGCGATGAGCGTGAAAATCTACCAATGATATGCAACTCGGGACACACAAGCCTGGTGGTACGAGCTTGTCCCCCATTGCATTGCATCCGTTATGAAATGAGTGTGCAGTCTGAAGTTTCAACATCTCGAGACGGCACAGTGCATCACCAGCGATTGGAAACAACGCAGAGTCCTCTCTGAAATATAACTTGACTGCGCAGAAAGAATGTACGTACCGCATCATAACCTCTTTGAGCGGTTCTCGAGCGTCCGTTGGGAACATCCAGAGACCAAGGATAATGGAAGTACCCTTCTTCTCCCGTGGTTTCGCTTGTTCTTCGGGTGGGATGCGCCTCGACAGCTCGTGGTCGAATGCCGCACGGTGCTCCGGCGGGATGGGGAAGGGCAGACCCATTTCCAGACGCGTCTTCGTGAAGTCAGGGTAGAAGCGGCACATGAGGTAATCACCCATGATCTCCATGTCGTCCTCCGGGTAGATCGGGCGGATGTAGTCGTCGGTGCCCGCACGGTTGAGGATGTAGAAGCCATAGGTAGGATAGGTCGACCTGCCTCATTGTCTTGAGTCTGGGCACGGAAGGGCAAAAGCCACAGGCGGTTGACGTACTTTTCAAAGAGAAACATGCTCCCTTCGTAACCATGTTTCTCCCACTTCTGGCCGTTGTGGTGGTAGAGACATACATGACTGAATTGGTCGATAATGGCAGTGATGTAGGGCTCCCTTCGCAGAAGCACTTTCATGTTGCTCTGGTATACTGTAGGTAGCATACCGAGTTGGCGTTGTGTGGTCCCCGCTGGGGTCTGTGTTCGTTGTGTTGGCGGCGGGACATTCTGGGTTGTGGTAGGCCCGTGGATGTTGGTAGTAGGACGGTTTCGGCGAGGGGGCATGGTGGAGGTGGGTAAGGAAGAGGAGGTGCGTATACAAGCGCCGATACTAGAACGACTACAAAAGGGAATGTAAGTCGGGTAAGTGAAGGAATAAGCCTGCGTATAAGAACGTATCAATATTTACTAGTGACTGCTCAACAAAGTTAATGCCATGCGCACGCAGCGCGCGCTACTGCTCCTTGCCTCCGTCCCACAACCTGCAGCTACTCTCTACCGCAGCTACCACCATTATGAGCGACCGGAAACGCGCCTGGGAAGGCAATGGGGACTCTAGTGCATCAAAGAAGCTGAAAAGGTGTGTGTCTTCCAGCTCTTCGCCGCTCGCTGAGTCCTGACTATGGCATTGCTGTAGCGATACTGTGAGTGCCGTTCCTTTGCTTCGTGAAGGTGAATATGCCCCTTACCATGCCTTGAACTTGCGCTATAACCCCCTTCTACCCGCTCAGACTGCATCCAATGGACATTCTGCAGGTTCATCGGTATGTCTTCCTCCTTGTTGATCTCGTGCGGAACTTAATCGCGGGCATGTTCGAAGTTGTCGGCGGACGCTCTCATCGCCCAGAAGAGGGCCGAGATTGCTGCTAAGATAGCAGCAATGAAGAAGTCGGCGTCGGCATCAAGCTCTGCACCAGCTACCGCCGCGCCCACCCCAATCCCCGCATCATCAAGGGTGGCATCCGCGTCTGCGTCAAACGCAGCGTCTCCATCTCCGCCCATCCCGGATGACATGGCGCGCCGTATTGCGGAAGCGAAGCGGCGCGTCGCCGAGGCGCAAAGCAAGCTGGCGGTGAAAGACAACCCGTACATGGTATGTTCACCCTCTTTATCAGACGCGCCTCCGCTCATGTGCGCAACTCGAAGTCTGCCCCACAAGCCGGCAAGAAGAAGACACTGGCTCCAGAGCCTGCTCAGCAAGGGGCCGGTCTGAAGATGGCAGCTCATCCGCTCCTGCTCGACACCACGCCCGCTGCCCCGCAGTCCAAAAAGGACAAGTATAAGCCCATGCAGCCGAAGTTCGCGTCGATCAAGGTACATCTTCCTCACACATACACTATACATATCCTAATTTACGCTTTTCAGGCGAACATTAGGAATGCACCGACTCCCCCGCCAGCTCCTACGCCGACCGCGCCCAAGGAGTCCATATCCAACCCGTACGCTTCTGGCACGGTCACGCCTGCCGAGAGCGGCTTCGAGGGTGCTCCGAAAGAGCGCACGGGGAGACACTTCCGCTTCAACCCAAAGGGTAAATATGTGCAGATCGCGAACCAGGTCCGGCAGGAACAGCAACTCGAGCAGCTGAAGCAGCGCATCGCGGAGAGCGCCAAGAAGGCTGGTTTAGATACCGAGTTTGAGACGCTTGAGAAGAACATCAGGGTACGTCGCTCCTAAATGCGACCGGAGGTCTGCGGACACTAATTATCGCGGTGTAGAGAGACGCACCTCCATTGACTGAGTGGTGGGATGCGGCCCTGTTGCCTCACAAGACGTATGACGACCTGGAGATGGGGATGTCCACGCTCAACATCCGTAATGCGGACTCGCCGATCACGCTGTATATTCAGCACCCCATCCCTATACCCGCCCCAGGCGACAAGAACGAGATCACCCTGAAGCCATTGAAGTTGACCAAGAAGGCAAGTGACTGCCGCAGCGTCTACTAGCGCTGTGCTGACTATGCGCGTTGTATATAGGAGCAGAAGAAGGTTCGGAAACAACGGCGACAGGCCGAGCTGCAGGACAAGCGGGACCGGATTCGTATGGGTCTCATCCCACCGGACGCTCCCAAAGGTGAGCATATACCCACTATTGCCCTCCGAATTCACTGACAGAGTCTCTACAGTCCGCTTGGCAAACCTGATGAAGGTCCTGACGTCGGACGCCGTGCAGGACCCTACGCGCGTGGAGGCGCGCGTGAGACGCGAAGTCGCGATGCGCAAACACCAGCATGAGAAGATGAACACGGAACGCAAGCTCACGGACGAGCAGCGGCGCGAGAAGATCGAGACCAAGAAGGTCGAGGAAGAGAAGAAGGGCATTTACGGTGCTGTCTTCAAGTACGTCCGTCATGTATCCGTCTCTGTGCACGTCACTTACGGTTGCCGTATAGGGTCAAGACGCTTTCGGACCCGTCGCACCGCTTCAAGGTGCGCAAGAACGCGGAGCAGATGAACTTGACGGGCGCCTGCATCTTCCATCCGACCTTCAGCATGGTCTACGTCGAGGGCGCGTCAAAGTTCATCCGGCAGTACAAGAAGCTCATGCTCCGGCGCATCGCGTGGACGGAAGCTGCGCGCGAACGCGGCGCGGAGGACGTCGAGATCGAGGGCGCGGAAGATGGCGAGGGCGGCAGCGGGAAGGGGAAGGGGAAGGCGGTCGTGCCTGGGGAGCACGGGCAGGCGTCGCTCGAGGACAACCACTGCTGGCTGATTTGGGAGGGCCAGCTGAGGGACCGTGCCTTTAACAACTTCAAACCGAAGAGTTGCCCGACGGACTCGGCGGCGAAGGAGATGGGCGAGTTGCAACGGCGGGAAGGACGGGCCTGCTCATGTACGCGGGCGAGTTCTCAGTGTAGATACGTAGCGGACATGGAATATATTTCGTTGGCACGCGCGATCTTGGCGAGTGTGTGGCTGTGCGGCTGTGTGGGTGGGTGGGCCACCGTGGGCGGCTCGGGTGTGTGGGCGGCTGTGTGCGTGGACATGGCGGGGACGGGGGGCGCACGTGGATGGGGGTGCAGACGGCCGCGACGAGATTGAGGGACTCTGGCCGTGGAGTGGGTGTGTATGTGAGTGGGTGTGTATACCGGAATGTGTACAGGACGGCGGGGTGGGGAGCACCTCATCAAAGGTCAGAAAAGCGGACTGTAGACGTCCGAATCCACTCGCATTCCATCCTATCATACTAGTACGGTACAGGGTGCAAGCATCGCGCCGGCGCGACAAATCCTACGAGCAGGACGAGGGCCACCAGTCTCGGGGAGCCCCTGCACTCGAGCACCTCCACAGCAATCTAGGGGCGCCGTATTCCCGCGCAGCAACGGGCGCTGTATCATACTGTAGCACAAAATCATGTACGCGCCAGAGACGCGCCGCGCCGCGCGTCGTCGCAGAGTCTCGCGGAAATCGCAGGGAGGCCGGGGACAGGCCGCGGGAACAGAGTCCAGCCGGCCTCTCTCCTCGGGCTGCGGGCGCGCTTCCTGGCCCGCCGAAACCGCGCATGTGTGCCTTCAGGCGTCGTATCACTTCGTACAGTGCAACCGCATGCAGCTGCGCCCGGGCCGCCGCGTCGTCGCGGAATCGAGAGTGGGAGTGACAGCACCTCGGAAGTGGTTGTGTGAGCCAAGTCCGGCGCATTGTCGAGGTCGTGGCGCTCTGATACCTCGCGCATGCGTAGCCCACACTCGTTTCGTGCTGTCGGAGGTGACTGCGTAATCGCGTCGTCGCGAGATCGAGATCGAGCAAAGGACGGCACCCAGAACTGGCTGCGGGAGCCATGTCCGGCCTGGCGCCACTCGCAGAGGTCCCGTGGCGTAGAAGGGAAGCCGACACTTGCATTCTATGTGTGAGAGCGTAGAAACGCGGCTGCGTCGTTGCGGAGTCGCTCAATCAAGATCGGGAGAGGCAGGGACTCCAAACGTCCAGAGCTGAGCGCCTCGGAGATGCCTTGGGACAGAGCTGCGCGAGTCACGCGCCCAGCGTCATAGAGTATCCGGGAAACAAGGGAGATGCCGCCGCTGCACTGCGTCGTCGTGAATCGAGAAGGGATGCCCGGCCGGGGCGGGCTGTTGGAGCCCGCTCCGGCGCGGGGGTCACACCGCGCCTAGCTTGCTTGAAACGGGTGCCGAGAGCCGCGTCGTATGCGTGAGGACGTCTAAACGTCGCTACGTCCTCCAGCCGCTGCCAAATCGCGAGGGAGGGCATTGAAAGCCCTGGAACTGGCTGCGGGAGCCGAGTTCAGCACCCGGAGGCTCGTAGAGGCCGTGAGACGTCCAGATCACGTACATCGAGCGCATAGGGAGCTTTCGGACCCGAGAGAACGCGCCTGCGCCATCGCGTCGTCGCGAACCGAAAAAAGGACAGTCGAGGGCCCCGGGGACTCGGGAGCCAAGCCCCGCCAGGTGGACTTTGAGTGCTCCCGGGTGCACCCAGGTGCTCATGACGCGTACCCTGTATCGTGGACAAATTTATTCAGTACAATATCGTGTGCGCGGCACAGCTGGACGTACAGCAGATCCTGCCGCGCCGCCCCGCGGCGGTCGCGGGAGACGAGACAAGGAGCCCAATCGTTTAGACGCCCATGCGCACCCACAACGCGCCAGGTACGACGGCGCCTCTTGCCTCCACACTGCCACCATCGGCTCGCCCCCTCACGACACCTCGCCCTTGACGGTGTGTGGACGAGGTAATCGGGCCGTGCCACAACACATCTCGACTCGGATGCTGACCTGTCACGCCCTTAGGCTCAAGCTGCCAAGGCGGGCCGCGGCTGCTACAGGATGTGTAAGTATCTGTTGTGAGCCTACAGCGTGCGAGCTTACCTCGCTATGACCCTCCCCTCGTCCTCGCGGAGTCGCGCGCTGTGCGCCATGTGGCGGAGTACTACCGCCACCCATGCACGAAGCCCGTCGACAGCCGCAAAACTACCATGAGCATTTCGGACACTCCACTCAGGCTGGGATGGCAGCGTGTCGAGTCGTGTCAGCGCCGTCTAGGGATGCCAGGACAGAGTCCAGGTGAGCGCCCCGCAATCTTGCAAGACATCTGGGCATGTCCTGACCTCGACTGCGCGCCGTACACGTGCTCCTGCGGTTTGGACGGCGCCTTCAGCCGGAGATATCGAGCGTACCTAGTGACTTGCGGGAGCCCAAAGGTGCGGTACAAGGGCAGTCGCGGCGAGGCTAGCGGGTCGGTTGCCGTCGGAGAGCTCTGGGACACAGAAGGAGACGTCGAGGGAGAGCGACCCGGGAAGGTGGGTGCGAGAGGGAAATGGTATGGGATCCCATTTACGCTGTGTCGTCCACGCTCACGCTCTTCAGTGTCCGATTCTGCTGCGCTGCCACTGTCCTCTCTAGTGTGCTGGACTCACAACGTACGATCGGCGGTCATCTTCGATGCCCTGCTCGAGTCTTCGGGGCTCTCTTGTTGCCGCCCTCTGGCACTCTAAGCATCTGGGGAATCTGGTTAGGAATCCAGAAAACTGTTGTGCCGCTATGAGACATACCTGCCGACTCATACCTCTCTTGACACGATGCCGTACACCTCTTGTGTGCTGAACACGGCCCTCCTGAACATCTCTCCAGCCCAGACGGCCGCCGCGGGAACCTGCCCTGCTGTCCTTCATGTCGAGCTCCTCCGTTTGGGGCTACGCTGTTTGCGATATCTGGGGGCTCACATCTGCCACACAAGCAGTGTCAGTAGGTAGTCTTGTTGCGGTGTCCACTGAGCTCACCTGCCAACATCGACACGGTGGCTCCCGTGCCATGCCTACTCCCTGGCCACGTCAAACACGGCTTCCGCAACCTTGTTACGGCACATGCGCGCTGCCCGTCGAAATTGCACAAGGGCTCGGCGCGGGTGGGCATGCACAGGGCCGACAACCCGGGTCCTTCACATGCCCCGACCCGCTCAAGTCTTTGCTGCGCTGCGTGTCTAGGGCTGTCTTGGACACGTCGTCTGCACTTCGCAATTTCTCTCACTGCAATCACGGCTTTTGGCACTGGGGTTGGCCTCGATGATCAGCTGGATCGTTCGCCTCGGACCTGTATCACTGCACTCACCAGGAGACGACCGAGCTGGGTGTGGAGGGTGTGATCGTGTGCAGCCTCACGTCCACATGCGGTTGCACCAGTCTGCAAGACGGCGACATGGAGAGCGCGACGAGGAGCGTGGGCGGAGGAGGAGGAAAGTGGGGTTGAGGGCTGAGGGACGAGCAGTGTGAGCGGGAAGATGGCTGGGGGTTGCCAAGAGTGGAAGGGTAGGCGAGAGTGGTTACGGAGAAGGCGACGGTACTCGGAATGTATTCCAATGCCAAATTTGTCCATCATTCCATGTACATAGCATGCACTGCCAATGTCACCGATCAGGGCTCGTGTAGAGGGACAATAGGCCTCAGGAGTTTCAGGCCTCCACTGTGCGCCTCGCTTAACTGATGACTACTGCTGCAACACCGCTTACAGTTTCATGCTTACGACCGGATCTTGCCCGTCCGCCTGCTTCGCAGGCGTGTAGACAAGATCGGCCGTGGAATATGGCAAAGCCGCGCAGATTTCCTGCTCGACCCGGCCCTTTTCCCCGCCCGATCTTGTCTAGAACTTTCCAAATTTATCTACCGTCTCCTGGAGATCCATATCCCTGCAACACTGGCACTCAATAGTTCACCTCCATGCCGGACCCCATTGCCGCAGCCACGATTTGCGCAGCGACAACGAATCAATATGTACTACATGCCCCAAACATATACTATTCCAACACCAAATTTCCCCGAACTTCTCTGACAAACTCCGTACACAGGCGAGCCCGTGCGGCCTGAGCCCGGCTTGCACTAGCAGCGGAGATATTGGGTCTAAACGATGCCGCCGTCTAAGTGTCGCGCGGAACGAAGCTCGGGTCGAGAACAGAGCGCGAGTCGATCTATCTGCATATGTGCCCGATACGGCATGTAGTGCGCTTCGATGCCCGGGCGTGGGGACTTGGCCCGGGCGGCCGCCGCGCAGCTGTCAGTCCTGGACGTCCACAACGATGGGCGCGCCCTCCCCCACGACGCTCTCCGCCAGATTCTCAACATGGAATTACGATAGCTGTTACATTTTGACCCAATACGAAACCTTTGCCAGTGTCTGAAACTGCCCGACTAGACTGACGCTGTTCACGCAGCCCGGCCCACCATTCCATCGCCGTCGACAAGAATCCCGTCCAGCTCGATTAACAGAGCCTACTGGTGCGCAAGAAGTCCAAAAGGCAGCTGTCCTCGCACCCGGCTCTTTGCCGCCGCGACCGTCTCGAGGCTCAGAGCCCGGACCTGTAACACCAGTCGACTTCCACCTCGCAAACCCCATGGGATCTTCATACAGGACACATGTGGGCATTCTGCTGTACGCCCCAGACGCCCTGAGACGAATCACAGCGCTGCCTGGTACCCCTACACTGGTGTAGGCGGCCCACAATTGATCAAGACGAGGCTGAAGAGGCGAAATCATGCACTGCCACCAGCGATACCTGCGCACATGCGCTTTTAGTAGCTCAGTACATGTACAGTAAGTGTCTTCGTGCGACCTGTGTGGGATTGGACAGTCGTTGACGCTCTCAAATTACCTAGCTACTACGCACCATTGTACACCTTCGTAGGGCTTGATATGAGCCCCAGTACTAAATTGGTGCTCGACTCCGCCGCCGAGATCCAATTTGACACTTGCCAAGACGTCAGTATCCAGGACCTATCCAATTCGCGCTGCACACTCGGTTCCCGAAGCAACGAGCCTCTCATGAGAGAAGCTCTTCTCATGATTGTGTTGTCTTGCCACCGCCAATGGGTGGAGCACTCATCGGGAAGGCCAATCGGCATCCTACGGCGGGCCTTGCAAAGAGATGCTACTACCGATCCACACACTTGGGTGCACTGACGGCTCGCTGCGCGAAGTGAGCAGGTACGCGGGAGTTCTAAATGAGAACTTTCGGCCCTAATCATTGGCATTGCAGATTCTTAGTTCTCCTGCAGCACTCCGTGCGGGCATCGCAGAGCTCGCATTGTCAGCTAGTAC